AACATGGACCATGAAGAGAATAACATTTTTCTGCTAAACAGTTCTTTATAACACGTGAAATGTTAGAAGTATTAAGATCATCTTTGTTATTAAAGTAAAATAAAAAATTGTTGTCTGATATTAAATAATTATTATCTGATGTTAGACGACTAGTAATTTTTTTTGTTAATTCAGGAGATTTCCAACTTAACTCGTTGTAACCACCAAATAGTCCTATATCCATAATTTTAATAAGTGTTACGGTTGGTCCTTTATCATCACATAGTTTATGAAATATTTGCGCATCAAATCCATCTCGTTTTGCACAATAAAGAAGTCTAAAATCATAAGGATCATTTTTAGAACTATAATACAAGAATTCATTTGAAATTTGCTCATTATTAATTGATGAACTATTTTTTAAATCTTTCTTATCAATCCAACTTGCAATAAGATCAAATTGCTCTGGCTTAGCAAGAAACATATGATTAGGTAATATGTATCTCTGTGGTAGAATTGTAGTTCCTTGCGGTGGCGTTATATTATACCGAAAATAATTAAGAATTGATTCTTTTGATAAAATATTTTTAAGAAATTCAAAATTTCTCATAAAATCATCTTGCGACATTTGATACCAACGAATTAAAGGAATAAAGTCATGAATAGTCTTTTCTAATATATCATAATCTTTTTTTTTCCATTTTCTTAATTGATTTGGAAGAATAGATGAATTTTGAGCAATACCCCATTTCACTAAATAATCCAAAATACTTATTTCACTCAACATTCCCAAATCATCTCGTTGTAATATACGCATTAGAATTGATTTATCCAATTGAGTAAATTTTCGATGTTCAAATAATAGATTAGGGTTGATACATATAACATGAAGGCATTGATCATGGAGAGACTTAAATGCATCATTACTAAAAATAATTTGCACTATGATAAATGTATCAATGTGCATATATTCTTCTAACCGTTGATCTATAAAGTTAAGCAAATGATTAAAAAATTTTTGAAGATGCATCTGACTAGCTATTATTAATAAATCCAAAATCTCTACGCAATTTAAATTGTCCGAAATAATATTTGTAAAATCCACGCTTAAAAATAAACGGTCTGTAATTCTATTATATTTTAACTCTTTAGCAACTATCATTAGTTGGGCGATTTCGTATTTATTTAATTCACCTAAAATAGTTCTAGCATTCATTAATAAATTACTAACGATTTTTTTGTATTGAAATTCATTAGCTGTTACTAATAATTGCAAAACTTTGCCTCCATTCAATTTACTTAAGAAAGGGTTGATAGCTTCTGTACTTGATAAAATATTATCAAAAAATTTTTTAATTTCTAATCTATTATCTGTTTTCATAAGATATAAAATTTCATCTATATTTAGTTTTTCTAAAATTGTTTCAAAATCTGATTCATATTGTAAAATTAAACTATAATTTAGTTCAATTATTCTTATTATAAGTCGTAAAACTTCTGTATTATTTAATTTACTTAAAACGAATTCAGTGAAATTGTCTCTCGCCAATAAATAATCTATAATCTTGCCAAGTTCTAACTCATTTGCTGCATCTATTAATTGTAAAATTTCAGGTCCATCCAATTTACTCGTATCAATTTCTGTAGTATAAAGATATCTTTAAGCAAAAAAATTAAAAAGAAAATTAAATTAAATAAAATTGTTCAGTTTAATTTCAATATAAATATTACAATCAATTATATTATTAATTTAATTAATTTAATTAATTCATTTAAGTGAATAATTACCTTAAAATCACTCTAAATATTGTTGCAGAAATATTGCTTAATGTAAAAATAAAAGTTTTCTCATAACTTTTAGTGTAATTTTTATTAAAGAGAGAAGTTTCGAAATAAGATGATCGAGAATATAGAATGAATGAATGTGCGTGGAAAACCTTCAAGCTATTTCCTTCGCCAGCATAAATGACAACATCATAATTTTTTTCATTTTGAAGTAACATTTCATTAAGATTAAACAGTTCTTCGTATGTTTTGATTCCTTCTATTCTTCGACCATATGAATATATAGATGGTAAATGTCTTGGTTTAAGCACTTTAGTTGGCATTTTATGACTATGAAAATAATAGAGAATATTTCGGTGCAGCTCCGTTGATTTGATTGATAAAACTTTTTTAAAAAAGTTAAAAAACTCCAAGTCTTGTAAAAGTTCTTGCAATGTTATTCGGGTCCAACGAATCAAAGGTATAAAATCATTTATAATATTTTTCATTATAATGTAATCATCATCAGTCCAAGTTTCGAATTTTTTATCTTGGAGATTAGAATTTTGACCAATGCCCCATTTGATTAAATATTTCCATAAATTAAATTCTTTTAAACTTCCTAGATCATCACGTTGTAATATAAGCATTAAAATTGATTTATCCAATCGAATAAACTTTTGATTTTTAAATAATCTATTAGGGCATATACATATTAGATGAAGACAAGGTTCTTGAAATATTTCACATATTTCATTTTGAAAAACTAATTGTAATACACCAACTACATCATTTCGCATAAATCTTTCCAAATTATGGTTAATATACATTATAATCCTATCTGTAGCATCTTGAAAAAGTAATTCATCAACTGCCATTAATATATTTATAGCTTCAGAGAAATCTAGCTTCGTAAAATTTATTTCCGTAGTATATACATATCTTTTTTTAAAATTTAATAACATAATTCTGTAATTAATAATAAGGATAATATAATTAATAAATTGTAAGAATGTAAAAAATTAAATACATGCCTCAAAATAGTTTCAAATATATTTGCTGGAATATTTGGTTTTACAAAAATATAATAATCTCCTTCTTTTTTAGCCCAATTAGAAGAAAGTGCCGCATTAAAGTAAGATGAACGAGCACTTAAAATAAGTGAATGCGCATGAATCTCTTTGAAACTTTTTCCTTCACCAGCACGAATAATTACATCAAAATTATATTTATTTTGAAGTAGTTTTTCGTAACTATAGGCAAGATCTTTAAAACTATTTAACGACATCGTTTTAGTGTAAATTTTGGACTCCGAAAAAAATCCGACAAATTTATTATATTTATATATGGTAACCTAATGATTCATATGAATAATTTGTACCACATTTAAAGGTCAAATGTGAACACTAGCAGTTAAATACATGAGCTAGTTTAAACTAGTTCTGACGATCTTTACCAAATTCTGGTAAGCTCGGTATTGTATTTACGAAATACATAGTTGATTATAGCATTTTTAATGGTTTATTATTATATGCATATTGTTGAATTGCAACAAGCTGCGGCAATCCGTATTATTTTTTATATATGTACGTATTGTTAATTGTTAATTTATGTGGCAATTTATGCAGCAATTCTGCATATTGTAATGGCGTACATGTACGTACGTCCGTCCGTATAATCTCATGTTATTTTCATAAATTCTGGCACAATTGAAAAATTTTATGAATGAGTCAGAGTTAATAAGTTAGACGGATCAATTTTGATCAGCAGTGATGAAAGTTATAAAATAATTAGTAAATTTAAAATTTTTCCAAAATGCAGTGCAACTCTGTATACTATAAATATCCTAATTTGTTTTTACTAATAGGGTGGGTCGGAGTAATCTAAACCAACAAATCAAGTAGTAAACTCCGAACTTACTTCAATAAGTCATCGATTACAACTGAAATTAGGAACCTATCGATGTAGTCGTCAGCAATTTTTTTCACTGTAGATTTATGATAGTAGCTGTAAGATCAAAAAATTGCCGATTAGGCCATTGACAATTTTTCAAATTTTCCCAAATCGATCTTTTCTATTGACTAGGGATACGGGGAAAATGCGATTTTATTTATAGGATTTTCAAAATCCTATAAATAAAATCGCATTTTCCCCGTGTCCCTGCTAATGACCCTATCGGAAAATAGGCCTTCATCGGGTGATATCAGATTAATTTATGGAAATAATAAATAGCAAAATAAGATAATTGGCAAAATTGTTACTTAAAAAAATTTTTTTGAAGGAGGATCAGCAGCTAATGTGTGGCACAATATCACTGAAATAGTGAGGAACTTTGTAACAAAATTATGTGTAACATATGATAGAAATCAGAATATTTTAAATGTAAACAAACTCAACTATATATTGTGACTAGTGGATGGTGAGTAAGTTCTGTATCAAATTTTTTTACAGTCTCTCATAGCAAAAGCTATAATAATTCCGATACAAACTAACTAAACCTTAATTGCATACTATTATCACTAGAATGGCGAGTAAGTTTTTTATTAGACTTTTTTACAGTGACGCAATAGAAATTAATGATACTGTGATTACTAGAATAATAAGTAAACTCCATAATAGAATTTTTTATAAATAATAATTCTAATATAAACTAACTCAGCCTTAACCGCATAGAATAATGATTAAGTTTTGCTCGCAATGACTCAAGGTAAAGCCAGGATAAATCCAATACAACCTTAATCCCATACTATTGTTACCTAGAATATCGAGTAAATTCTAAGACAAAAATTTTTACAGCAGTTCAAGAAAGAAAACATGATAATTCCAATTTCAACTTTTGTGTATATCGCATTAATAAGTTCTATTAATGTTAATGAAACAAATTTAGTCGAATCAAATTAAGTAATTTAATATTTACTGTAACAACTCTGGAGAACTTGACCAATCAGACAATACGTACCTTGCGAATCATTAGTTTTCGAAATTTTATTTTTTTGAAATAAATATATCTACTAGTTGGGAGTGTGTAATTAATTTCAAAAATATATATATATATTACTTAAATAAGTCATATTCAAGACTACAAGGCAATAATTTGTTTTTACGAACTTAAAGTATTCATCAAAGAGTTAATGTATAGTACGTCTATAGGTGATTTGCACCGTACATCTGTTTTTGTTACACTAGAGTGCAAACACGTATTCTAAACTTGCTCTTTTGATACGACAATATAAATCAACTAATGAATTAATCAAAAACATAACTATTGATATAATTTTTGTATCACTTTGATTATGCATTAAATGTTTTCCACTATACTATTATATTTTATTATTATTTCGCCTAAATGCAAGTTGAATCATCATTTTAACGTTAAGGGAATAAAATGAATCATCAACTGTTTAGGTGAATAAAATGAAATAATTAACGAATAAAATAAGCATATGACCTTTTCCTTAAAAAAAAAAAAAAAGGTCCCTGAACAACTTCGTGAACTTGGTTACAATTACCGACATGGCATTGGTGTTGAGAAAGACGAAGAGAAAGCGTTTGAATATTATTTGAAAGCTGCTGAATTAGGAAATTCAGATGCGATGAAAGAAGTTAGCTCTTGTTTTCATTTTTGAATTGGTGTAGACGTAAATTATCAGAAATCGTTTGAATATTGCAAGAAATCCGCTGATTTAGGTAATGCTTATGGAATGTGTGTCG